GTTCCCTTCACATAGGCAACAAAACCTGGTCTCCCCTTGAAAGGCTCCTGAACTTCCTGGTTTCTGTACTTGCCCTCTGAGAACAAGCCCTATCCATACATGGCACACATACAGACAACCTAGCACAATGAGAGTCAGTGGCCCGCGTTGCTCTGGGACATGCTGACCATTATGATCACAACAAATTATACAAAAGCTGAAGCCTAACTGTTCTCCAGCAAGAGGAACCAACTTCCCACGGATGTGGAACACAGATTTTCCTTCTCTACCATTCCAATGGTACTTCTAAATCCTCTTCCACGTAAATCCCTACACAATCACAAAAACTCATCAAATCTTTTTCTGATTTAAATAAAGACCAAAAAAATAAACCCCAAGGTGACCTTTACTCCTGCTCAAAGAGGAGCAGCTTTAGAAACTGCATGAAAAACTGTGCTTTTGTTATGAATTTGTATCACTGATGGCACTCTGCTACTAGAGCAATCAGTGGCAGAACAACATTACAAGGTAGATAGACTGAGGAAAAAGACTGATCAGAGAACCCAGAGACAGATAAACAGGGTAACATGCAAAAAACCTCATGAGGATGGAGAATATGGTCACCATCTTAAAAACTTTAGTAATTTGACAAGGCAGTAGTTCTAGACCTAAATTTTATTTTATCCTTCATTTTATCAATTCACAACACTATCCCTTCAACAGTAGCCATTTGAATTTACCAACTAAAGACCCTAGCCAGCATTACCATGACTGCAAATCATCATTCACTTCCGCAGGTAATCCTGACTTCACCATTTTAGCCACATCCATTTAGTAGCAGGTGGAGGGAAGCGGACTGAAACATGGGTTAGACAAAACAAAACAGCTCCTGCAGTTCTTACAAGGCAGTAAAAAATTATCTAACCCATCTAACTATCTATCTAACTATTTTCTAACTATCTGAGTCAGGCAGAATACACAGGGAACCACAGAGCAGACTAGTGGAAGTGAAGCAATTAACCTCAAAGCAAATATCTACCATTGTTGTTCTTCCATTGATGACTTCTACATCCTTTCTAAACAAGTTAGGGCATGGAAAGGTCAAATCTCTTCACACCTTTCATCACACAGGATTAAGTCAACCGAAGGGAATCAGTACTGACAGCATGTGTTGCTTCTCATGTCACATTCCTCCCATCTGCATCATTCCAGTGGCCAGTAAAATCAGCTAGTTCTTCCCATTCACTTTCCCTCCTATTTAAGGTAATAAAAGTTATTGCATTGCACACAGAAATTCAACACATTAGCCTTCCTTTTCCTAAGGCAATTAGGGGCAATTGAGGGGTCCAAAAAACAGTCATTCATACGAGAGAGTTGACAGAAGCAACATAATTATTTTGGCTTCTATTTTCCTACAGTAACTTTTCTTAGAAGCAACACATTTAATTATACTGTACCTGCACAGCTACAGCCTAAGCAGACTGCTGAGTGTGACTCACCTGACTCCACACCAGAAACACATCTCTATACACACAGTTGTCATTCCAGAGTTCCTGAGGCATCACTCTCTTTATTTCAAGGAGAACTAAGTACATGTGTGGATCAGAAAAGGAAAGTGCTAATGAGCAGCATGAGTCTTTTCCTAGTTCTTCCATTGATGCTCAGCATACTCGTATTTTCTCCTGTAACATGTTCCACATTCCCTGATCCAAGCACAGTTCAAACAGTGGAACAAGAAACACTGGTGGCAAGCACTTTCACTGTTTCATTCTAGCCCTGCCCTGAGTTTATAATCACATTATAGCTTCCTTAACTCAGTAACTCATGACCAAGTTATCTGAAGAACTCTCATCAATAGCTGCCCTAAATTGTAAGTGATTTTTAGATTAATAATTATGTTTTGTCCATTCCAAACATGAAATAATGCAATTCTTTAAAAAATCAGAAATTTTTAAAAACGAAAGCTTTCTATAAATTAGGACAAAAAACAATAGGAAAAAAAATCTGCCAATTAGCAAGCCTCTTCTTGATACTTCTGGTCAGTTCTGCCAATTAGATCCTCTGATGTACATGTTAAGGTCACATCCAGGTTCAAGCCTTGGCAAGCTTGTGACAACTATATAATCCCTTTTAAAGACAAACAAAAATTCTAGAATCTAGTATCATTGTTATTGCTACCTAAAATAAATACATAAATTGAGGATGTGTTTTCAATGTATTACAAAGTAACCATAAAGAAGAGTTTGATTCTTTCTTGCCATCAGCAGGTATCATGAAGCACTCACCACAGCACTGTCTTTTCACAACACAGCAAAAACTAACACAAGAATTTCTCCTGTTACTAGTTTCCCCAATGGGTCTCAAATAAGGGTCTAAAACAGGAGAGAAAAATGTAGTGTACATCTCTCTCACAACTATCACTATCACAATTCTTCTGTGCAGCAGGAACCAAAATTAAATTCACAACTCCAACTGTGATTCTTCCCTCCTGTAGGACCTGGACCTCTCCGTGCTGTAGACTGCTGCTTATGTCAGATCTCAGTATTCATTAACAAGACCGAGGCATATACGTTTGTCCCCTTTCAAACTGAAAGTAGAAACAATTTCTTCCTTTAAAATGGGTCGTGCTATTTTATCCAATAGCAAAGTGACTTGGGCACGCACTGACATTGTGGGATGTATAAATTGCCTATCTACCCACACCAGAAAGGGCTGAAACCCACATATCCTACCTCTGAGGAAGGTGCCCCTCATCTCATGCTTTAGGGGGAGGGGTCCTAATTCCCCTTGAAGGGTTTCCTCTCTGCAGAAAGGCACCTGAGACTCACTAGACCAAAGATCTGCTATTTTGCAGCTCAACTGAGAGATTCACCTGATGGAGGAAAGAGATGGATGCTACCCACGCTCCAAGAACAACAGCAGAGAACAAATTAAGAGGAAAAATTAATTAACTGCATTTGTGCAAGCATAAGTGTGAGGTAAATATCAAGTTGTTCTCCCCTGCTGATGGAGAGATAGTATGCAGCACACGCACAAGCAGAACTTGTGGCATGTATGAGGGTTGAGCATGAAGGCACTGAAACCCTGAGATGTTCTGGAGATGGGGGCCCCAGCTCAGCTTCTTTGTGGCTTTGTTTCCATTCAGTAAAGAGGGAATAGCAGTACATTTATAGGGGTGTCATGGAAAGACATCGCTAAAGACTCTCAAATTTTCAGTTGTTATGATAGTGTCATAAATGTTCTTAAAATAGTGTTTCAGGGCAGCAGGGAGACTGGAAAAGAAGGCAGTTTCAAATAAATAGTTAAAATTGGTTTCCATTACTGTAAATTGATGAGGCACACTGCTAACATTTGTCATTGGACTACTGCATTTTCAAATTTAAAAAAACACCACCATTATTTCCTTTCCTGTTTTGCTCTTTGATAGGCCTAGAGAAGTTACTGATCTGGAAGCTTCATCAGCCTCCCAGTCATCCAATCTGCAGACAAACCCCTTAATAACAGGTCCAAATCTCTTCACAGACTCCACCTCTCGAAAGCAAATTGCAGGAGTGCCAAATCATGATTTACAGTAATCTTGCAAAATTTATAGCTATGGTATTTATTGGTTGGTTGGTTGGTTTTTAAAAACTCCTAGCTGCTGAAGGCATGATTACATGAAAGTGTCTGTTTTCTTCAAATAAAATTGCAGGATCCATGCTCATGAGAGGAAGTCTGGACACATGACACAAATATAAGCTCTTAAGGCTCAAACCCCAAAAGACAAAGAACTAAAATTCTGACTTGTCTCATGCAATCTTGTTATTTTTAGGACACTATTTGCTGGATATCATTTTGTACCAGACACTATCCAACATACAGAAAAAGAGAATCCTTTCGCCATACTACCTATGCACTAAATAGAAAAAAAGCAAGAACCATGAGGATTAGCCCCACTGGACGTAGGAATAATTGAGACCAAAAGACTCAGTGATTTACAGTAATAACCAGTAAGTATATTGCTGACTGAGCCCGGAGCTCAATGCTATTCCACGACTATGCTTACCACCTTCTTAGAAATTAAGTGATATTAAATATTATCAAGAAGAAATCAGTATTAGAATTAATTACCGTGACCACAGAAATGGATTTTAGCATTACTCAATATCAGGAAAAACAAAACCAAATCCTTGATAACAAGAGCCAGTGACCATCAGGAAAGTCCTACTGAACTCTCCTGAGAGCTGGGGACTTTCTCAGTCAAGCCCTGTGTGAAAAGCTTCATCATTCACAGTAAGCAGTTTTGAACAGTTTAGATAGTAGTAGCATTTTACTCAAATCCAGCTTACTGATCTCCCAAACAGTGCTAACTTGATTAACCATAAGGCTTATTTTACCCCTTTTTTTTTGTGTAAGAAATGCACATGTATTCCTAACAACACAATATACTATAACCACCTAGAAAGCAAACGTACACACGTTTGTAAAGTTATATGGCAATATATTACTAGTTTACTACCACATATCTAAAGTGTATGATTCCTACTTTAAGGATAACAAATAGGCAAGATTGTACATGATTATACATATTTGCAGCACAAGGTACTTCCAGAAGATTAATTTAAAATCTGCAGGACATGAAAACAAAATTACTGCAGTATGAAACAGAAATTCAGTAAAGATTGTTTAAAACACTCCGCACCCTTTTCTGTGGTAAAGAGAACAGATCCCCTTACAGTTGAAAATAAGGGTGTAATCAACCCATTTAATTTTCACCCATTTAAATTCTGATAAAAAAGTTTACTAATTAACACAGATATATAATGTACCAGTTCTCATTTATGATCAGTAACATTTTATAGTAATAGCTTTTACACATCAAAACCCCACAAGGAACTTGAAATCATACACCTGAGGACCTAAAATGCAAAAAGAAGAGTCAATAAGGCAGCAAATGATGCTTGTTACTGTTTGCTCCGCAGTCCCTGACCGTAAGAACACACAAACCGCATCAACAAAAAACTCCAGCAAGACTCACTCACCCAGAAAAGAGCCCACGAAGATGACGATCTGCACCGTGGTGGTGAAGTGCCTGTAGGTCTGCTCCTCGCCGTGCTCCTCGCCCTCAGCGGCGCTGGCCTCGCTGCCGTTCCCGCCCTGCCACACCACCTGCCCGGCCGAGGCGTTCCTCATGGCGACAGCCTGGTACGGGCCATGCTCGCTTTCGTTCCTCGACATCCAGCTTTTGTCGTACCCCATGGCGAAGCTCCTGCCTTCCTCGCTGCCACCTAATAACCACAGGTTATCGAGCCCTTGCCTTTAATGACTGAGGCAAAAAGGCGTTTCTGAGGATAAAGTCCCGTCTCTGACGCTTGGAGGCATCTTCACCATGTTTCAGTGTCCCAGAAAGCAGGGTTGGCTTTTCACATTTCTACATTGTAAATCATAATTGTCAGTAAAAAATAACAGAGAAATAGGAAGGCTCCTCCTTGCAATTAGGGGTCCCATATTTCTTGCTTCACAATACCACAGCGTTTCCTCAGCATGTTTTACTGCAATAAACGTGAACGAGGAAATGAGTCCACACCACGGCTCATCTCCCCAACCCCGCCAAAGGTCACCTCGCGCCCGCCGCGTCCACGCTTGCACGCAGACAGACCGACTTTACGTTAAAACCGGTTTGGAAAAGTTGATGGACCACAGGCTCTGTGTCCCCCCCCGCTCCACTCTCAGCCTTGCCGTTAGCTTTTCTCACACCGCCGAGAGAGGAACGGCATCTCTTTCCCCGTGGCACATCTCCTAGCGCTCCCTCCTCTCCTTCTGCCCGCTCCTCCTGTGGGGAGACGCGGCTCCGTCCCACGTCCCCCCTGGCTCAGCGCGACACTGGACGCCAAGAAGACCCTCACGCCGCGTCCAGAGATGTAAATGCTCTGCGGCTTCCGCTGCACTCCAGCTATCTCTCGGGGAAAATTAATTTGGTTTGTGAATCCCCAGCCGGGGGGGATGGTGAGGGGCACTCGAGCCTCCAACGAACCAAAGCGCCCCCGTAGGATCCCGCGTGAGCCCGCGCCACGCGCGGCTGGCGGTGACACCCCTGCCCGTACGTGCGCCAACACGCCGGCCCGTGCGCCCGGCTTGCGCTGCCGTCGCCCGCAGCCCCGCCACCCCACACTGCAGAGGGGCACCCGGCTCCGCCGCCCGCGGGGGGAGGCGGTGGCCCGGCCCGGCCCGGCCCGGCGGGGCGGGGCGGGGCGGGGCACCGAGCTCCCGCCTCCGCCTCCCTCCCGAGGGGCTGGGGGGGGCGGGCCGCCGCCGCCGCCGTCACGTGGCCTCGGCACTCGGCGGGGGGCTGCAGCGCCGCCATTTTGGCCCGGGGGCGGGGGGGGAGCGCCTGTCGCGACAGGCGCAAGCGGGCAGGGCGGTATTGCGGCCGCAGCTCGCTGTCGGTAGGCGAGCGCCCGTGCGGAAGCCCGAATCTGCAAACCGGTGTTTTAAAAAGGGTCGGTAATTCTGAGAACAATTTCAAAAAACAGTGCTAACTTCTAGATAGGCATATTATTTGTTCAGAAACGTTTTAAATGCATACTTTTCCAGGAAATCTCCTTTACAGACATAGTAGATTTGGGTTTTAACTGCGCAACAATTATGCATCGGTAAAGCAGGTGCCGTTAATTTGAAGATTTTAGGAGGATGGCCACTTAAAAATCGGGCCAAAAAAGGGGTTTCGGCCATTGTCCTGCAAGAGCCCCTTCACAGTATAACCCCTGCATGGCAAGGCTTTTTCAGGCACCCCAAACTGACGACATGTATTTCCATGATCTGCATCCCGTCTCCTGTGAACTTGGATGACAGGGGAAAGAGCTGAGTGCCCGGCCATGGGTGCAAAGGCATTTGCTGGCCACAGGGAAACGGGGACTGCCACCACCCCATCCCGCCGCAGGCCCCACAGCCTGTCAGCCAAGCCTCTGCTTGCACCCCCGTGTGTGGGGGGGCCCTGCCCTTCGCAGCCTCCTCTCATTCCTCGGGGAGCATCAGTCTCCCAGCTCACTGCTCCGAGCTCTTTTCTAGTAATTCGTGTCTCTTCCCAGCTCCCAGCCTGGCCCCAGGTTCGCTCACCCTCCTATCCTTTCCCCCCACCCCTACTCCCAACTCATTCACCTTGTCCAGCCAGTCCCTGCTTTCTCCCACCTTCCCCAGGCGGTAGTCAGCAGCTTCCACCCTGCTTTCCCTCATCTTTGTTACCCAGGTCTCCCGATTTGGCTTCTTCCTGCTTTTGGTCCCCCAACATTCCTGTGGCCATTTTGGCCAATCTCTGTGACCAGACTGACCTCCTCCCCTTCACCTTCCAGCCGCTTCACACACCTTTTCTTCACACAGCAGCCCCTTTCTACAGCTCCTCCCTTCAGGATCCTTCCCCCCTCTCCTGCACTTCACCTAAAGAGACCCGCCTCCCCTCACCATGCACAAGGGGAAGTGAAAGCACACTATCACATCATTAAATTTTAATGGCTAGAATTAAATTCTCATGTTGTGGGATATGAGGGTTTAAAATTTTGTCTTACATTTTAGAAGGGAAGCTTCTGTCCTGAAGTCAGGCACGTGTTTGGGGCAGGTGGACCCTTCAGTGATGTCCATTGTACGCTGGTAAATCTGTGCAGAGCATGTGAATACTCCCCCTCTCCCCCAACACCCCCCCCCAAAAAAAAAAAAAACAATTGTTTACTTTATGCAGGTTTTCACAAAGCTAGCTAGCAAAGCCACAGCACTGAACGAGGTTGTCTCTTCCTCGTCACCCACTAAATGTTCACACTTCTGCTGGGGTACAAGAATTTTCAAAATAAAATCTCAGAATGTTTTTATTATGATGTTATTTTTCTCTGGCTTTCTTCTTGGAAACAATGAATCACTATAGGATAAATTAAGAGGAAAAAAATAAAATAGCCTGAGGTAGACATCTGGTCTAGAACATTTCATCCCAACTGGTTAAAATTTTGCCAAGTCACGAAGAACAGGAACAGTCGGGCAGCTTTTACAATGCATGTTACCTGACCCACCCACTCTGTTAAGCAATGTAACACAAGAGAAGTTTCCCATGTGCTGTGCTGTGTGTCCCACACAAAGTGCTTGTAAAGTATAAACACATACCTTCTGTTAAAGACAATTTTGCTGAACCTTCTTAATTACTTACTGCATCATATCTTCAAATTGGCTATTCTTGCTATTTTTTTGTGTAGGAAGCTGAATCTGTGGCCTAAGAACTTTTATTTCTAGTCTTTAACACTGACAGACTATTTACACAAATTGATAGATGAGTCAAATATAACAGTTACTTCTAAGAAGGTGCAAGAAACAATTACAGTGCCCCAGGTCACATTTGATTGTGCCAGAAGAGATCTCTGGTTGTTGTTAGATAAACACTACACAGCTTTGGCCCTGCATTTCCCACCAAAAGAAAAAAAAAAAAAAGAGAAATCAAACCATTACCACTAAAGGCACATTCCAGACTTTCCCAAGCATGGTAAGGCACAGAGAACAGCATCAGATCAACGATACAGTTTACGATTTGGTTTTGGTTAGATACTAATAACATTATCAAACTACCAATTATTAAATAAATTGTAATCCCAGATGGGACCATAAGGATTTAGTTTAAGTGAAACACAAAGATAAACAAAAGTATGCATGTAACAAGCTTTCAATTTCGGGAGAACAAATTGAGGGCTATAGAAAGTATTGATTAGAGTAAGTCCCTCCTTAAGTGGTCTACTTGTAACCAAAAGGTCAGGGAGTAAAGTGAACTCCATTGATATAAACTTTTCAAGTAAAATAAAGAAAATTATCAGACTTTTAATTCAGCTACAAAAGTAAAGAAAAATCGAGTCTATTAAGCTGCAACAGTAGAGATTTAAAATAATGCAAGCATGGCTCTGAGACTATTTTTTTTTTCCAATTAAGATAACAGAATTTGATCTTTAGGGGCAAGATAATATAACTAATGGGGATCCTGGTATGAACTTGACTAGGTCTGAGGCAGAAGGAAAACTCCAAGATTCAGTTTATTCAGTTTCAGTGGACCACACTTGTTTCCTACATTTCATAACAAATGAAATCACCTCAGTATAGTAGAGGGGTGTGTGGTAGCAAGCTATGGACTATTGGAGCAATTTTCTTTGCCTGGGAATTACACACCTAATAGATAAGCTTGTATGTATGAATTTACTTGGGGGGTTCTCGTTAAGATCTCAAAACTTTAAAGGCTACATCATCTTGTGGCAATCCTTCAGTAGTTACCACATGAAGTGACTGAAGCACATTTTTTTCTCTGCTTTCCAGCACTCCCCTGGGAGCCCCCAGCTGCAAGTCCCACCTAGGAGGCCCTGGGGCTAAAGGGTGCTCACAGGGTCTGGCCTTACTTTGCAGTTCAACCAGCCAAAGCCAGGCTGCTCACGCTCCAACTCCTAGTAGTGGTTAAAGCAATCATCGGGGGAAATACTTTCTAGTTTTCTCATGAACTTGTATCCTGCCCCAGCTCTACATGAAATCCAATCTGAATTTTGTGGTTCTTCCCCTTTGCAAATCTTCCTCAAAGTCTATAAAATACAATCCCCACAGTAACTACTCGTAATCAGTGCTTATCTCTGTATTTGCAGATATACCTGGAAGCATATCTTGGGAAAGTTCAGACTGGACACTAGGAAAAGGTTCTTCACCAAGAGGTTGGTCAGACACTGGAGCAGGTTCCCCAGGGAAGTGGTCACGGCACCGAGCCTGGCAGAGTTCAAGGAACGGCTGGATGATGCCCTTGGTTGCGTGGTTTTCGTTTTAGGCAGCTATGCGAGAGCAGGGAGTTGGACTCGACCATCTTTACAGGTCTCTTCCCACTGGAGATACTGTGTGAGCCTGCAAGGACCAGCTGCTCCGGGCCTACACTGCTGTGAGGACGAGGCAGGCGGGCCCACGCCGGGGGTGAGCAGGGCACGGCGGCGGTGGGCAGTATGTCGCGGTCCCTCACGGCGCGGCAGAGCCCCAGAAACGCCGCCAAGAGCCGCCAGCTCCGCGTCCCTGCACGGGCCGGGGCTACGGCAGCGTCCGGGCCGCCGCCCGCCTTGCCTTCAGCCGCCGATACCGGACGCGCCTCGGGGCCCCGCTCCCCCGACTCCGCCTCCCGCCGCCGCGGAGGCGGCGCCAGGGCCCGGCGGAGCGCGGCCGCCGCGGGGCCGCCGCCACTTCCAGGGGGGCCGCCCGCCATGGCTGCCGGCCGGCCCCGCCCGGGGAGCTGACATGGCCCGGGCCGGCGGCGCGCTGCAGCTGCCGGCGGAGGCAGCGGCGGAGCCGCCGGAGAGCTACCAACTGCGGCAGGAGAACGAGCTCCAGGTGCTGGAGTCTATTTACGGGCAGGACTTCCAGGATCTGCGGCAGAACCGGGCCTGGAAGGTAGCGAGAGGGGCCCTGGCGGTTCGCGGGCCGGGGCGGGGGCGGGTGGCGGCGCGCGTGTCCCTGGCCTTGGCGCTGGGAGCGTTGTTGGTGCTTCCTCGCTGCTGCCACGTCCTTGTGCTTGTTGCCTTGCCCGCCTTCCCTCTTGCCGTTTGTCTGTCGTTCTCTCCCCCCACACCCCCACCCGGTAGGCAGCCGTGTAACTGGCTGCCTTTGTAAGTAATCCTCTAGAGATGCGTTTGTACTATAATTAATGTTGTGCATATAACGTGCATTTTAATTGTTAAGATTTTTTTAAAAATTGCTTCTTAATTCATCCCTTAACCGACTAATTGCATACCTGCTTAATGAATTCATCTCATCGGTATACATGTTGCTGATCTTTGCATATTTGTTGTATGCTGTGGTTTACTCAACCCGTGGCTGTTGCCGTGATAACTTAATACTTTAACTTCTATTTTTACAGTTTGGGTCTTTTTTTAATCACTCTTTTACATCAAAAGTTTTGTTTTCCATTGTAGGTGCGACAACCTCCTGAAATTAATTTAGTTCTGCATCCTCAGGGATTGACTGGTGATAATGAAGTATACGCCAAAGTTGATCTGTGGGTCAAGTGTCCACATACTTACCCTGATACGTGAGTGAATATTAAAATACAACCTTTTCTCTCTGAACATTTTTGTTTTCCATAGTAGAGTGTAAGTTGAAAAAACACTGAGTTTTATTCATCACTCCTATTCTTGCTTTCTGCATGTCAGTATTTGTTAAGCTTGT